AGACCAATCACTAACGTTGTTCTTCGGCGTCGTGGCTACATAATAATGCCTCCCAAGATTTCTACGTTTCTGCTTGGATCATTGTAGGATGGGCACGTCCAGACCATGAGCACCAGACCTGCTACGCTATAACAGGGCGAATGACAGATATTTACCACGGTGAATTAGTTGATGGTGGCGTTGCAGAGGCCGCTATTGAGTTCTGTATTTGTTCCTGATAACGGGAAAGAAGGCTAAAAACAACTGGAGCCAAATTCACAAGACTTGCCTTTCTTAAGTTATTTTTCGCGTTGGTCAGCTGGACTCGCCAATATAAGCGGCATCATGATTGGCTGAAATATTCTCTTACAAAACTTTCCTATACGTAAGCCATTTTAGTGACTACAAGCCCTATTTTTCGTTCTACCGGACATTATTTTGAATGAAATCTACCACGTCGCTTTTTTATAAGTATGTATTACAGTTCTTCTCGACAGTGGTGTTTTTTTTTTATCAGTCATTTTGGTAACAATGTGGGAGGAAGCCTCACCTTCGTCCCCCAGATAAATGAAATTGAGAGTACTCTTTTGTTGGCCAGTAGGCGGTTTACTTCTCTATACAGCGTCATCTGAAATGGCTCTTTGCAGTAGACGAAATGTGCACAAGTCGACCGAACCTCAATACTAAGGGCAGCTCAGATTATAGCCTGAAAACTTCAACATTTGTGCAAGTTAAACTGATTATTCAATAAATAAAGGCTTCGAAACTTTGCAGCCTTAACACACACTCAGCGAAAAGCTTTTTTTTTTCATTTATATTATATGCACATTCCGAATAGCGTTTAGACAGTTTCAAATGCGTAATAATTATTGTTTTGTCGATTACCTTACCTTACTTCCTCCTCCCTCTTTTGCAGTCGTGTGGTCGAAAAACGCGCACTTGTGAAATCTTAACTAAATGTCTGAGGAAAGCAACGAGTTCAATTGACATTAAAACAAAACTGCACAGTACTTTCATTCCACACGCACATAATTATAATTAATTTTGCATAGAAAATGTTGCGGACAGGTAAAAAGGTGTTTATGCCCTAGTTCCTACGTTCCAAAGAAAGATAATAAGATAAACAATCCATTCACTCCGTGAAGATGGTTGTACAGCGATACTGTCTATGGGAGATGATCTCCCTTGTGGTATTCCTTGCCGTGGTATTTGCAGCCTTCAATAGTGGTAGCAATACTTCGCTGCTACATTGCCTGGGCTCCACGAGTTCGTGTTTTAGAGTATCATGCTGTCCTCTGGCGAATTTCCTCCGCTTCGCGAGCTTGCAGCGCTGCGTCATCAGCGCGGTTTACGCGAGAGTCACTGATTGGCTAGCAGGGTCATGTGTGGTAAGACAAGCACGCAAGTGTATATGATTTCCTAGCAATGTAACGTGATTTATTTCGCGCGCTCGCATCTGATTGGTGAAAACAAGAACACTCCGTTCACGGCTCAGCCGATGCGGGCTTTCTGCGGGCACCGACTGTTACTATTACGGTACAGGCTTATAGCATATATAGCGCTGCTTCGCTCTAAAGATTCCCACCTGTCAGTCTAAAATACCTGGGACTGTGTGCGCTATTATCACGCTTCAAGTTTAGCGCCTTGGCGACTGTCTGATGCGCTTGGACCGTAATCCAAACGAAGGAGACTAATTAGGCCAGCTGTGGTGAAACGTCCTAATTGCTTAGGTCTTATCACCCGGTGCCTAAATTAAAACACTGTCAGGCCTCATTTGCCAACAGCTCCTTTTGTTTCCCCACAAAGAGCTTCACTTTGGCAATGTACTTTGGGTGCTCTCATTGGAGGCTGTCTGCCAAGGCTCTATATACTCCCCAACAAGCGCACATACAAAGAGCCTCAATCTATTTAAAAGATTTCGTTACTATATACAGCGCAAGCGTGCATATTACTGCGGGAGGTTGCGGTAGCATTCTCACTCCTATACCGGTGACGCGTAGGTACTGGTTGCGGGGAGCGGGCATGCCAGAATTCTGCAATCTGTGTCCGCCCCAGACCCATCTGTATATCCCGGCGTTATATAACTTGGAAAGCTGCCGAATTTTCGTCACCCCGTCAAATGCTTCGCCACGGAACGCTTGAGAGAGCTTTATCTTGTCGTTTGTATAGAATCCTACACCTGCGAATCACGTCACCTGCAAGTTTGAACTTTCGATGGCCATAACCAGTATGTATGAGTCACAGACCATTGGGTGGTCTATATAGCGTGCGTGTAGCTTTGTCTTCTCTGGTTTTAAGGACGAAGCTTCTTAGGACTTATAGCTTTGTTGTCGTGCGATGTACCTGCGTTCACACTCGTATCCCGACATCTGCTACACAGCTGCGAAAAAACCATCTTCGCCGTCCATCTGTTCTTGAATTTAGCCATTCGTGCATCCGTCCTTTATGTCGCCCGACTTCAACGTAGACTGTATGTTCCTAGGACTTAGCTTCGCGAAACTCGTCATCATCCACGAAGCGGATGATGACGAGTTTTGACGAGGTTTGGTATCCAGATGAGCTTAATGGCGCCAAGGTCCATGGTTTCATTTATTATTTTATGGCTGCGGGGCAGATTTTTCCTTTTCCGTATATAATTTCTACACGCCTACGTGGAGGGTATCAGAATGAAGGCTTCCTCCCCTGCGTTTGCAAGCGCTTGTTCTGCCGTAGCGATGGCTACCTCCACGTAGTAGCAGGCGTTTTGGGCCCACCTCATGGTGCTCGTGACTTCTCTTTTACAGTCATCTATAACTGTAAACTTACGAACCACGTTGCGAATGTTCGGCGTGCTATCGCGGCGATATGTAGCTCTCTAGGTGTTCCTCTGGTCCTCGTGTTTCCCTACATTGTCGGGCCCGAGCTTTTCGGCGCCCCAAACTCAGGACGGGGTCCATTCCTTCCAAGATCGGTGAAAATGTGATTTGTCCTCTATTAGTAGTGGCGAGATCCGCCTGCTCTGCCTCGCTCGGCTATTTGACCGCGTTTGGGTGGACGAGTGGCAGGTGAAGCATACATCAGGTTCCTCTCTACAACAGAAACACACCTTCAGTGCGTTTTTAAAACGTTTTCGTGAGGACGTTTGAACGTCCTAAAAACACGCTCAGGCGTGCTGAGGCCGTCCTATTGTCCGGCCTCAGCACGCCTTCTGCATATCCAGAAATCGTTCATCATTTCAGGATTTGCGAGGGACTGAAACATTCTCCATTCGTCCACAAGGACATTTTGCGTACCAACTATGCTACTACTCACTAGCACATTTCTGGGACATTTTGCCTACCTACTACATGCTACCCACCAGAATTCGTTGTATGCCAAATTGCTTTATATATATTTCAGATTTTACTTTTATGTGAAGATAACGTTAGATCAAGGTTGTGTATTAATACTATAGAAACGCGTCAGCGCCAATGCAGACATTGCCTGTGCGGGGTCATGTGGCTTTCCCACCTAGTGACGCACGCAGAAAAACAACCAGTTTCTAGAAGTACTTTATTCTGATTCACCGGCCAGCAAAGCCAACAATAAAATCCTTTGAATGATGAGGGCGATGAGGCACTCAGTGTAGTCTTCATTTGTCAGAATAATCAGAATGTACTTTTAATAAACCTAGAAGGAAGTCAAATTGCTTTTGTGAGGGCAGCAGTTGAAATTACACTACATATTTCGCAAGCACAACATGAAACCACTCTTATTATCAGTGTGGACAGTGTTTGAAAAAGTCAGAAAGCAAGCTCTTCCACCAGTATTTGTGCCTTACACAGCGCAATTTGTGCAATATAAATAGTCTGAATGGCTCCTGATATATAGGACAAAATCTTTGGCAGATGCATCATGAACTTTATGCTGTGCAGCTTCACAGGAACTTACACACCAGTAACCAAAAAACTCCCAGCAAGCAGTGAATTAGTTTCTTAACAAAGCGCTACAAAAACAAATTTGCGTTTTGTAGTTTTGCACCAAAAAAAAAAAACTCGCAACAAAAGGCTCTGTGTTTTCTGAATTCCAGGTGTGACCAAAGATTAGCCTCCGACTTTCGGCTAGTGGCAAACCGCCAATGTTCTAGCACAGTCTGAGCTCATCAGGCAAGCGTGTACATTCCAGCAGCTTACCGCCGTCCAGCCTCTAGGCCGAAACTGCAAAACTTATTCATTCCCTTCTGCGAGCTCTCTGATGTAAAGGGTGCTACCTGGAGTTTACAAGAGTATACCCTAGCAGATAACGGTAGTAACAAGCAACAAGAGTGGCTCCATAAAACTGCCAACAGTGAAGTGACCGCGGTGTGCGAGCCCTACGATTGTATACCACTCACGCTGGTAATCATTGCAGGGAATTAAGCGCACTGATTTCGTCGTCGTGAGAAACGATGCATCAACTTGGACGGTAATAATATGCACATCACTGCTGAGTCGGCACCGATCAAGCTGCAACAAAAAGGCTGGAGGCGGCAAGTTTTCCTCGTTACCACGCGTGCCACCACTGATCGGACCACTTACTAGATCTTCAACACGGTGATACACCACGTGTATCAACGTGTTGCAAACGTCACTTGCATTAATATAGAATAAATAAGATAACCCAGGTAGATGTACCCGATATTTTCCGTTCGTAGCTTCCGCTCCCAGTAGAAAGCTTCACTTAGAGGGCCTTCACCAGTGTGTAACACATTTTAGTTGTACCAGACCATCGTTACACACTGGCGTCAGAAACTTTAGAAGTGCTATCTAGGAAGCGTTCTCGCACAACTTTTTTTCTAATCGATTCACCAGCAATGAAGTAAGATGGAATTGAACTATGTTGTTGTAATTCATTCCTACAGGCCAACGCCCCTGCCAAGTATATCCCAACGTTCTTATACGAAGTCTTGTGGTCGCTCAGCTTTATGTCACAGTCCTAAGGATATTAAGTCCTTTGTGACGCGCGTGGCCTCAGCCAGCGCAGAATTAAACGGCAAACCTTCTCCTACTTTTCTGTGTGCAGTGTAAGCCGAGCAAGCGACCACAAGAGACATGACGTCGACGTACCGGGTGCGCACCGTCCCGACGCGCACAGTGACCACCGTGCGCCGTCAGGTGATCGACGACGACGGCGACTTCTTCGACTTCCCAAAGGCCCGCGCGGGCGCCTCAGAGTTCACGACGGTACGCCACAGGGTCACGCCAGGCGGAGGTGTCGTGACCACGACCACGACGACAACCACGACCCCGAGGCGCGTCATCCGCGACGTCAGTCTCGACGGCATGGACTGCCGACCCGTTCTTCGCGCGCGACGTCTCCAGGCCCTCCCGGACCAAGGATCTCGAGGAGTTCAAGGTGCGCTATCCGCCAGGAAGAGCCATCGAGCTCGATTGTTTTAGAAGGCCGCCCAAATATAAACGGGACGCCGCAGTATAAACATCGTAACACACGTGTGGCTTCGGAAGTTTTCGTGCGTCTTATTGGACATTACAAAGCACCGGCCTCTCGGCCATTGGATGCAAAGGCGCTGACGAGGCTCATATGATAGTGCCACATATTTCCACCGTGCTTTTATTATCAAGACCTTTCGTCATCCATACTGACTACAAATATTTCATGTCACTGTCAAAAATTTAATACTTCTTTTGTAATACTGCTTTGTTTTTACCTGTGTTAGCGCAAAGAATTTTAAGGCACCTATACAGCCACGTACCCAGATCATTGTCTACATCACTTGTCTACTGAAATGGCGCTCTTTGGCCATCAAATGGCCCTTGGTACTGCCTCGGCAATGCGTCTGTGGAGGGAAGGCCTACGAACCACAGCCCATATGGGATAATGGAGGCATCCGTGATGATTTCTGTAAAAAGATGTATAATCTTATAGTTCCGCCATACACGGCAGCGTACGAATCAGTGTTCCACGTGACCGCTGTTTGCCGTCTTGAGTACCCCTCACACACTAGGCTCGAAGCACTTACGACTGACCAAAAGGACAGAAAATCCACAGTATAAGGCACATTCAAAACTGAGTACCAAATATATAAGTACGTCGAATGCCCACGGAGCAATTGCCAACAATGTGTTGCAATATACGTGATACGTGCATAGCAGCTGTTCGAGGCAGCCGCGTGTTAAACTATCTTTCTGTGTGAACTTTAAGCCCTTATGTAACGTCCCCAGGAAAACAAAGAGTAACACGTATTTAATTCCGTTCCTGTCCTTCCAGTCGTCAGGTTCCTTATAGTATACAGGGTGTGCCACGCTTGGATTTCTCTTTTGCACAATCATTTCAACAGTGCCGTTCTGGCTGCACAGGTGTCCTTCGACATCGGCCTGCACTTCAAGCCGGACGACCTGTCGGTGAAGACGCGCGCCGGCATGGTCTTCATCACGGCCAAGCGCACCGACGGCAACATCACCCGCGAGTTCGACCGCAAGGTGCCGCTGCCCGACGGCGTTGACCCGCTCACCGTGCGCGCCCTGCTCAGCCCCACTGGCGTGCTGACCATCAGGTCTCCGCGAAACCTGTCATCGCGATACACCTCGAACATCTACGAGCGTCACGTGCCGGTCCGCATGAGTCTGTACTAGAGAGGGCGAAAGGAAGAGAACAGAACTCGCGCCGGCATGTGCTCAAGTTACAGAAAGCATATACTTCGCTTATGCAGAACAAGCAAGCGTCAGTCAGCTATGCCTACTAGTGTTTCAGATTTCGGAGAATACTATAAATCTGAATTATGCTAGGGAGGCTTTTAATTCGGCTTCACCAGGCCTCTATTATTGCCCCTCCATCACTGTTGTTTCCTAGTCAGAACGAAGGTACAAACATATACTACATGGCGAATAGTGCTCGATGACTGCAGAGCAACTGTCAAAACGTGAAGAGGATCGAAACATTCTTTGCTGTTTGTGCCGTTTATTACATTTTTTGCTGTTTTCGCATTGAAGACAAGCTTATAAAAATCCGCCCGTGCCTGTAATATGTGGACAAGTACAGCACCTGCTTTCAAGAATGCCAGGTTTAATTCAATATTCTGGCTGCTGGGGCAGTTACGGGCCTATCATAAAATATGCTCTGAACATGTATTGCTTCCAAGGACTTGAACCACTGGCGTCTGCCGTTATATGTCGTATCAAACTCGTGTTTCAGTCAAGCCTTTATTGTAATTATGCCAGAACATTTTTGTTCACGAGACACTGGCAAACCAGAACGAATGGGTCAAGACCAAGCGCAAATTATGAGGTCGTACATTCTATAACGTCTCAAACAGCGTTATTTTAAAGGCTGATATAACTCTCTGAAAAAATAGAGATCTGTGCTGTCGTTAACGCATTCAAACATGCAACAGATATTTAACAGATATTTTTATTTATATCTTCTTAACAAATCACGATAGTAATACTCTCAAGTATAGTCGACGCTGCCAATGCTGTTTTCGAAGAAATAAAACGGAAGCAAAGCTAAACCCTTTCATTTTTTTTCTTTTTAAGTTCAACGCATGTCCAGTTTCGTATGGACAATGTCTGCACAAAGAAAGAATGAATAATTGAGATGCCATGCAAAGTTAGCGAGTCGTTGTAAAGCAAGTGCACAAAGCACCCTTATGAGATGTTTCGTAAGCTCAGTGATGTCGCAGACGCCTCATTTTTGTTCATATTGCGGCTACAGTAAAACAACTTCTGGTTATTCCTGTTGTTTGAGTTCTCAATCTTTACAACACGACACACGGTGAAAGACAAAAGAAGACGCCTCCCACACCAACTCCAAGAAAGGTAATTATCTTGTGGCCTTTATGAACTTACATTAATATTTATTTCGGACTGAGTATTTCAAAATTAGTGTTTTCTGCATATGGGTAGGATATATCTATAGGGAAAACGAAGATCGAACTTCTGAGTTTACTTGTGTACGTACCCACTGGGTTAGTTCTGAATATTATTGTTTCTTACAAATGAAGCGAGCTTTTGGAATTACACTTCTTTCCTTCAATATGAGTGGGCATACAAAACCATTATGCCATTATCGTGATCAAAACTTAATGGGTGCTAAACCACCCAAAACGATTGGTGAAAAAAAAAAAACATCGTGCGGTAAACAGGCGCTGCTGTAAACATCTCAGCCAAATGTTAAAGGGACCGACAACTGCCCAGAACATGAAATGAGATGACTGCAGGAATGGAAAGATTGTTCCTTATGACTAAAACCAACCCTTTTTTTTCGTGAGAAGTGGATTTTTATTTCTTCATTGAAAATCGCGAAAAGGACCTGTGGCGTCTCTGGTGGCAAAAACATGAACTATTATGAATGCCCTGTCACGTGACCATGCGTTAGTGTACACGGTCCACGATTTAATAATTAGTACTGAAATATTGTTCGGTTCTTTATAGCAAAAGATAATATTTTATAAAAATATGCATGTGAGCTTGCGTTAGTAGTATGCATTAAAATGGCACTGCCTTCGCGTGATGCTCGTCAGCGCGCCTTGAGCGGCTTCAGCTTTCCGCGTGCACTTGCAACTGCGTACACCAATTACATCTACAGCCAGCCTCAAAACACAGAAGAGTGGATGAAAAGGTAAAAAGAAAAATATTTGTAGGTCTAGAGAATGGCGAAAGGCAAGGAACTTCGTACGAAAGTAATGACGTGTTAGCATCGCACAGCGTCAGCTTGAATTGATAGGCCCCGACGACTCTCAGCACAACACACAACGATAAGTCCATGCGACACGTTCAACTCCATTGGTCAATATACAGTTGACATAAACCAAGAGCGCCTTTTGTATCAAGTGCACTTCTTACCATGGGGTGCCACGATGTACCAGCGCTGCGCTTCGTATAGTGTGCTTAAATTTCCCAGTGATAACACTAGAGTGATAACACTCAGAACAGTGGCTATAGGGCGCTCGGGTGCTGATCCGAAGGTTGCGGGTTCGATCCCGGCCGTGGCGGTCACATTTCGAATGAGGCTAATTGGTAGAGGCTCGTGAACGTTGCGATGTCAGCGCACGTTAAACAAGGCGAGATGGTCAAAATTTTCGGCGCCCTTCACTGAGGCATCTCTTATAATCATATTGTGGTTTTGAGACGTAAAACCCACGATTTTTTTTTTATGTTGTCGGAATGAGGTCTGAAGAGAGCGGTCACGTTTCATGCGGCACACTCAAGGTCATACGCACGCGCGGCGTAGCTTCTTTTCCCTGTGGCATCATCCCTTCCTGTGTATTCAAGCGCATCCACCGAGAAGAAAAGAGAGAGAAAAAAAAGAAAGAACTACACCACCTCCCGCTAAAGGGAACCATGTGTAGATTCGAAGTAGCGGGCGCCGACGCTTTCACTGGCGGCGGCTTTGACGCTCATCGCGGCATTGCGCAGGAGAGAAACCATGGGAGGCGCAAAGCACGCAGCGATGGACCGGGGTTGCCTACTGGAACATGCCAGTCACTGCTAATCAGCAATAATAGACATAAGAATCCGATTGGACACAGAGACCTGCAGTCCTCTTTTAGCTTTTTAGTTAACACACACTTGCGAATTATTATTTTTCAACAACACACAGGATAAATATCCTACCGACACTACTTTGGAGGTCAAGATTCAGTGCTTATACATATGGGGTGGTCTGAAAACGGATGTGCAGCGCGAGCAGTCGGTTTTTTAAATTAAGAAACTCGCTAACAGGCGCTGCTGCGTCGCGTGTTACGAGGCTAGAGAGGAGGAGCGTAGGAGAAGAGAGAGAATACGCGAGAGAGAATTTGAGACTAGAGAGGAGGAGCGTAGGAGAATACGCAAATGGTGTGTAAACGTCACGGTGAGCAATGCCCAGAGGGGGGAGTGAGCGTAGGTTAGCAGACACTTCCTGTGTCCGTGTTGCGAGGTGAGAGAGGTGGAGCAAACGCGCAAGCGCAGTAAGGGTGGTCACGCCGCACACCGGACTGAGCTCGACCCTAAGCTGTTTGCATGTAAAAAGAAAAGCACTTAAATCCTGCGATCAATCCCCGTAACTCCAATCATGCTCGAAGTGTTCGAAACATTTTTACGGCGATCGATCTGAGAGGCAATAGACTCCGATATGGAGGTTATTTTATGATTACTCGAAAAAGTGGCTCCGGAGTTGGCCTTTAAAGGCCAACTCCGGCGATCTTTCAAGGTCAGTGGATCTCAATTAAATTCACTAGGTACGTTCATTTGCACGTTTGCACCATTGATTCCAAATTGCAGGTTTGAGAGTTTCGCAGATTCCTTTCAAATGAATTTTATATCTTGTCTCGAAACGCTCACCTCGCTTGCCAGAATTAATGGCAACATTGTGTGGGTGTGACGTTGAGTTTTGCCTGGCGGAAGTGACCAACTGATGTGTCACTGCAGCGTCTGCTTGCCTGCTATGGATTGTGTGGGTTTGGCCGGCGCTTCCTTGGTTGAGCGTGCGATTTACTTTTCCGTGTCGGTGGGCGTACGATAAGCGCGAAGTGGTGTCGCGTTGTGAGCCACACACGGTTCGCCATATATTCACCATAACAGCGTAAGCGTTTTAGTCGATTAGCGGGGATGGCGTGGACGGGTAGTGCCATCTGGCGGGCTTTATGTGCAATCAGGCAGGTTCCGGCAGCATCAGGCAAATCTTTGCGTCACACGTAGAAGCGCACTCGATTGGGTTTCGGTATTGCGGTTTTCAGTAATTAAAAATTATTTTTAAATGTTTTGAGCATTTCAATTGTCGGGCGCGCGAGAAGAGTGTCTAAGGAACATAAAACACGATTATTGTGACATGGTCAAAAAATCGCCGGAGTTAGCCTTTAAAGGCTCGTTTACGCAGGGCGTACTGCAGTAGCATTACAGTTTATATAAATATTTTGAGCAGGACACGGCCGCCAGGTAAACATGCTAAGATATGCGGCTCGATGGGGAGGGGAGGCTGAAGCGGCAAAATTCAAGAGACCCTCCTTCACACACGCATTGTACCCGACGCCTCAACTGGGGAACACATACTACAATCCTAGAGTGGCCCCCTTCCATTGTCTTGGTGTATACTTCACTATTTAACCAGCCACCTCTGCATTGTGGCAAAGCTGACTTCTGGAAACCACTACAGCTGCAGTGGACGAGAGCGCTGCTTACACAGCGGCATAACACGGCCGTAGCGGTGCTTTCAATTACTGCTGTTCACGTGACGTCGCATCTACTGTGGCAAAATGGCGGACACCAGCGTTGCACGGGGTCCGTAGCCATGCGACTTCCAGAAGTTCCAGGGCTTATATCAAAATAAGTAATTCGTTACCGTCCATTAATGTTAGTGCACAAATGAACCTATATTTCTATTTTTCTCTGAAAGTCGCAATTGGGTGGATGACCATGTCATGACCCCTCTAAAGGGGAACACCGATGATTTTTTTTTTCATTCACTGTTTTTGATAACACCTTCAGCGTGTGTTCTCTTTGCCATCCTGATAATACGTGCCAAATTATACAACCATAAGTGATTTAGTTTCCTTAAAACACAGCTTTAAGAATTGTAGCCAATTACAGAATCACGGAGGTAAACAAAGGCCACCCTGTGTGTATGACGTCATGGTGACGTACTAAAAGGAGCTTTGTTACATAAGTGTCTATTTATTCTACCCTGCCCCGCCCATGGGTGTAGCGCACGCTTTCATCTACGAGGCCACGAGCTGCATGGCGTGTTAGTCGTCGTTGACACCGAGTCTTATAGTAATATATTGAGCAATGACAGAGATTCGGAGCAAATCGGCTGCTTCACGCGTCGGCACGTCGAAATCGAAAGGCGATGCTTCTGCGTTCACATATTAGCTGCAATCATCGCTGAACTCGCCACCGGTAAGTTCAGACGGGCTGGCTCAACTTGACTCCGTGTAGGATGACATCACCGACTTATTTTGCGTGCGTTAGAAGAAACACGTGTGTTATCAAGTAAACACCTTGGCCAGCCGTGGTGGCATGTAGTGGCGTGTAGCCGTGGTTTCGTGACGTCACCGTATACCCGCACGGAGCAGCTCTAATTGGGTATTTACTCAATGTTTAT